CCCCGTGTTATATGATAGTTTTCCCGTGTTATATGATAGTTTTCCCCGTGTTATATGATAGTTTCCCCGTGTTATATGATAGTTTTCCCCGTGTTATATGATAGTTTTCCCCGTGTTATATGATATTTTCCCCGTGTTATATGATAGTTTTCCCCGTGTTATATGATAGTTTCCCCGTGTTATATGATAGTTTCCACGTGTTTATTTATATTTTTCCCCGTGTTATATTTAAAAGTTTCCCCGTGTTATATGATAGTTTTCCACGTGTTATATGATAGTTTCCCCGTGTTATATGATAGTTTTCCCCGTGTTATATGATAGTTTTCCCCGTGTTATTTGATAGTTTTCCCTGTGTTATATGACAGTTTTGTCCGTGTTATATGATAGTTTTCCCCGTGTTATATGATAGTTTTCCCCGTGTTATATGATAGTTTCCCCGTGTTATATGATAGTTTTCCCCGTGTTATATGATAGTTTCCCCGTGTTATATGATAGTTTTTCCCGTGTTATATGATAGTTTCCCCGTGTTATATGATAGTTTCCCCGTGTTATATGATAGTTTCCCCGTGTTATATGACAGTTTCCCCGTGTTATATGATAGTTTTTCCCGTGTTATATGATAGTTTCCCCGTGTTATATGATAGTTTCCCCGTGTTATATGATAGTTTTTCCCGTGTTATATGATAGTTTCCCCGTGTTATATGATAGTTTTCCCCGTGTTATATGATAGTTTTTCCGTGTTATATGATAGTTTCCCCGTGTTATATGATAGTTTTTCCCGTGTTATATGATAGTTTCCCCGTGTTATATGATAGTTTCCCCGTGTTATATGATAGTTTCCCCGTGTTATATGATAGTTTTCCCAGTGTTATATGATAGTTTTCCCCGTGTTATATGATAGTTTCCCCGTGTTATATGATAGTTTCACCGTGTTATATGATAGTTTTCCCGTGTTATATGATAGTTTCCCCGTGTTACATGATAGTTTTTCCCGTGTTATATGACAGTTTCCACGTGTTATATGATAGTTTTCCCCATGCTATATGATAGTTTCCCCGTGTTATATGATAGTTTCCCCGTGTTATATAATAGTTTCCCCGTGTTATACGATAGTTTCACCCGTGTTATATGATAGTTTTCCCCGTGTTATATGATAGTTCCCCGTGTTATATGATAGTTTTCCCCGTGTTATATGATAGTTTCCCCGTGTTATATGATAGTTTTCCCCGTGTTATATGATAGTTTTCCCCGTGTTATATGATAGTTTTCCCCGTGTTATATGATAGTTTTCCCGTGTCTATGATAGTTTCCCCGTGTTATATGATAGTTTCCCCGTGTTATATGATAGTTTCCCCTTGTTATATGATAGTTTTCTCCATGTTATATGATAGTTTTCCCCGTGTTATATGATAGTTTCCCCGTGTTATATGATAGTTTCCCTGTGTTATATGATAGTTTTCCCCATGTTATATGATAGTTTTCCCCATGTTATATGATAGTTTTCTCCGTGTTATATGATAGTTTTCCCCGTTTTATATGATAGTTTCCCAGTGTTATATGATAGTTTCCCAGTGTTATATGATAGTTTCCCAGTGTTATATGATAGTTTCCCCGTGTTATATGATAGTTTTCCCCATGTTATATGATAGTTTCCCCGTGTTATATGATAGTTTCCCAGTGTTATATGATAGTTTCCCCGTGTTATATGATAGTTTTCCAGTGTTATATGATAGTTTCCCCGTGTTATATGATGTTTTCCAGTGTTATATGATAGTTTTTCCCCGTGTTATATGAAGTTTCCCCGTGTTATATGATAGTTTTCCAGTGTTATATGATAGTTTCCCAGTGTTACATGATAGTTTCCCCGTGTTATATGATAGTTTCCCCGTGTTATATGATAGTTTCCCCGTGATATTATGAGGGTTTCCCCCTGTTTTATGATAGTTTTTTTCCCCTGTTATATGATAGTTTTCTTTGTGTTATATGATAGTTTTTAGTGTTATATGATAGTTTTCCCCGTGTTATATGATAGTTTCCCAGTGTTATATGATAGTTTCCCACTGCTACATGATAGTTTCCCCATGTTATGATAGTTTCCCCGTGTTATATGATAGTTTCCCCCTTTTTTTATGATAGTTTTTTTCCGTGTTTATATGATAGTTTTCCCCCTGTTATATGATAGTTTCCCCGTGTTATATGATAGTTTCCCAGTGTTACATGATAGTTTCCCCGTGTTATATGATAGTTTCCCCGTGTTATATGATAGTTTCCCCCTTTTTATATGATAGTTTTTCCCAATATATGATAGTTTCCCCGTGTTATATGATAGTTTCCCCGTGTTATTGAAAAGTTTCCCAGTGTTATATGAAAGTTTCCCAGTGTTACATGTAGTTTCCCCGTGTTATATGATAGTTTCCCCGTGTTTATGATAGTTTTCCCCCGTTTTATATGATAGTTTCCCAGTGTTATATGATAGTTTTTCCCCTGTTATATGATAGTTTCCCAGTGTTATATGATAGTTTTCCCCGTGTTTTATGATAGTTTTCCCCATGTTATATGATAGTTTCCCCGTGTTATATGATAGTTTCCCAGTGTTATACGATAGTTTCCCCGTGTTATATGATAATTTCCCAGTGTTATATGATAGTTTCCCCGTGTTATATGATAGTTTCCCAGTGTTACATGATAGTTTCCCCGTGTTATATGATAGTTTCTCCGTGTTATATGATAGTTTTCCCCGTGTTATATGATAGTTCCCCGTGTTATATGATAGTTCCCCGTGTTATATGATAGTTTCTCCGTGTTATATGATAGTTTCCCCGTGTTATATGATAGTTTCCCAGTGTTATATGATAGTTTCCCAGTGTTACATGATAGTTTCCCCGTGTTATATGATAGTTTCCCCGTGTTATATGATAGTTTTCCCCGTTTTATATGATAGTTTCCCAGTGTTATATGATAGTTTCCCCGTGTTATATGATAGTTTCCAGTGTTATATGATAGTTTTCCCGTGTTTTATGATAGTTTTCCCCATGTTTTTATGGTAGTTTCCCCGTGTTATTTTGATAGTTTCCCAGTGTTATACGATAGTTTTCCCGTTTATATGATAATTTCCCAGTGTTATATGTAGTTTCCCCGGTTATATGATAGTTTCCCAGTGGTTACATGATAGTTTCCCCGTGTTTTTATGATAGTTTCTCCGTGTTATATGATAGTTTTCCCCGTGTTATATGATAGTTCCCCGTGTTATATGATAGTTCCCCGTGTTATATGATAGTTTCTCCGTGTTATATGATAGTTTCCCAGTGTTACATGATAGTTTTCCCCGTGTTATATGATAGTTTTCCCCGTGTTATATGATAGTTTTCCCCGTGTTATACAATAGTTTCCCCGTGTTATATGATAGTTTTCCCGTGTTATATGATAGTTTTCCCGTGTTATATGATAGTTTTCCCGTGTTATATGATAGTTTCCCCGTGTTATATGATAGTTTTCCCCGTGTTATATGATAGTTTTCCCCGTGTTATATGATAGTTTTCCCCGTGTTATATGATAGTTTTCCCGAGTTATATGATAGTTTCCCCGTGTTATATGATAGTTTTTTCCCCTGTTATATGATATTTTCACGGTATTATATGATAGTTTTCCCGTGTTTTATGATAGTTTTCCGAGTTATATGATAGTTTTCCCCGTGTTTATATGATAGTTTCCTGTGTTATATGATAGTTTTCTCCGTGTTATAAAGATAGTTTTCCCCGTTTATATGATAGTTTCCCAATGTTATATGATAGTTTCCCCGTGTTATATGATAGTTTCCCCGTGTTTTTATGATAGTTTCCCCGTGTTATATGATAGTTTTCCCCTGTTATATGATAGTTTCCCCGTGTTATATGATAGTTTCCCAGTGTTATATGATAGTTTCCCCGTGTTATATGATAGTTTCCCAGTGTTATATGATAGTTTTCCCCGTGTTATATGATAGTTTCCCCGTGATATATGATAGTTTCTTAGTGTTGTATGATAGTTTCCCAGTGTTATATGATAGTTTTCCCCGTGTTATATGATAGTTTCCCCGTGATATATGATAGTTTCTTAGTGTTATATGATAGTTTCTTAGTGTTGTATGATAGTTTTTCCCGTGTTATATGATAGTTTCCCAGTGTTACATGATAGTTTCCCAGTGTTATATGATAGTTTTCCCGTGTTATATGATAGTTTCCCAGTGTTATATGATAGTTTCCCCGTGTTATATGATAGTTTCCCAGTGTTACATGATAGTTTCCCCGTGTTATATGATAGTTTCCCCGTGTTATATGATAGTTTTCCCGTGTTATATGATTTGTTTTCCCCGTTTATATGATAGTTTCCCCGTGTTATATGATAGTTTCCCCCTGTTATATGATAGTTTTCCCCGTTTTATTGATAGTTTCCCCGTGTTATATGATAGTTTTCCCCGTGTTATTGATAGTTTTCCCCTTGTTTTTATGATAGTTTTCCCCGTGTTATATGATAGTTTTCCCCTTGTTATATGATAGTTTTCCCCGTGTTATATGATAGTTTTTCCCGTGTTATATGATAGTTTTCCCCGTGTTATATGATAGTTTTCCCCTTGTTATATGATAGTTTTCCCCGTGTTATATGATAGTTTTCCCCGTGTTATATGATAGTTTTCCCCTGTTATATGATAGTTTTCTGCGTGTTATATGATAGTTTTCCCCGTGTTATATGATAGTTTTCCCCGTGTTATATGATAGTTTTCCCGTGTTATATGATAGTTTTCCCGTGTTATACGATAGTTTCTTCCTCGTTTTATCAGAGTTTTCCTCTGTTTTATATGACAGTTTCTTCCCCATGTTATATGATAGTTTCTTCCCCATTATATGATAGTTTCTTCTCCGTTATATACTAGTTTCTTCCCCGTGTTACGCTGAGAGTTTCTTCCCGGTTACACAGAGTCTTCCCGTGTTATACTAAAAGGTTCTTGCTCGTGTGTTACTGACCGTGTAGCGGAGTTTCTTGCCCGGGGGAAGTCTCTTGGCAGCGTAGATGGTGACAGGTCTGGCCAGCTTGGCACCACAGGTACTGCGGTATGATCCTCCGCTGCTTGAGCTGGCGCTGCTCACCTTGGACAAGCCTGTAGACGGTACGAGGGAGTAGTGGCAGCCGCGGGGTACAGCGGCCCAGCGGTACACTGTTCACAGTGGTACAGGGAGGGGGAGCCAGGGTATTTTACTGTTGTGGTACAGAGGCAATGATATGCCAGGATTCAGAAATACATAAGGTACTCCTTAGAGGAGCAATTCATACAACAGCAGTGCATAATACAGTGGTGTATAATACAGTGGTGCATAATTTAGCAGGGAATCAACAGAGTAGAGGTAAAACAATCAGTGTAAAGTTACAATGATGCATTCATTTTCTTCAGGCACTAAGAGTCATCAGGAACTCACAGTCGTAGAGCCACTAGAGTCTTCAAGCACTTACATCAAGCACTCGCAACTGTCAAGAACCGTAAGGGGTTTATTAAGTTTCCTTCCAGTGTCTGGTTGAGTTTACTATGTAAACAAATTCCGCTATCCATTAGAAAACTATACACCCAAGCATTTCCTTTACAATTCACCAAAAAATCCAGACATGCTTAATCCACCAAGCATCCAGACAACTACTTTGTACTGCGTCAAACATCCACCAACCTGCTTAAAAGACCACAAGCACAGAACATTCACTCAGTAGGGACCTGAAAGGTTCACCCAGCAGGAGACCTGAAAGGTTCACCCAGCAGGGGACCTGAAAGGTTCACTCAGCAAGGGACCTGAAAGGTTCACCCAGCAGGGGCCCTGAAAGGTTCACCTAACAGGAGACCTGAAAGGTTGACCCAGCAGGAGACCTGAAAGTTAACCCAGCAGGGGACCTAAAAGGTTCACCTAGCAGGGGACCTGAAAGGTTCACTCAGCAGGGGACCTGAAAGGTTCACTCAGTAGGGGACCTGAAAGGTTGACCTAGAGCAGTGGTTCCCAAACTGGGGGTAAATTACCCCCTGGGGGTAATTTAACCATTTTTGGGGGGTAATGGAGGGGTACAGAAAAAAAGTTATGAATTCTGAAAATCAAGAAAACAATGCGGTACCCGGTATGAGGATTATTGTTAACTTTGTCTTAGTATATAAAGTTGTAAAGTAAACCTATTATAAGTAAGTAATAAAGTTAAACCAAATAACAATAAACATCAAAAACTAATATACAGTATTAGAAAAGAAGAAATATATAGCTAAGTGTGTGGAAACCCAAAAGTATTTTGACAAGTATGCTTCAGGACAAAAGTCACTCAGTAGCCCAGATCGACCTGTCCAGTACGCGTCACTCACTTCCTGAGGCTGCCTCTATTTCACACTGTCAGTTTATCTGTGAGCATCAGCCGAGGTAGACATAAGCTGGTATGAAGCCAAGAATTCCTAAACTAGCTTCAAGTATGCAACTCCATCCATCCCACTGATGTTCTTGACATCTTTGGTAATAGTCATTAGAGATGCACAATGTTCAAATAAAATAAATAAAAGAAAATATCTCAAGTGTTTTAATTTAGCCATATATATCAATAATAACAACATTTTGTGAAAGGGGTAACATGCTTTATGTGGCATGTTAAATTGGGTAACAAGCTGAAAAAGTTTGGGAACCACTGACCTAGAGGGACCCTGCAGAAATGCCCTGAAGAAAAGATTCGCTCACCTGAGATCCCGGAGGAGCCGGAGCCGAAGGAATAGAGAGAGGAGGAGGCTGGCATACATCTGCCGGTGGCGGCAACGGCAGCCATGGAGTACTGGGAGATGGAGGTGGGGAAGGGAGCGTCCCTGGCCTGCCGCAGCCGCAGGATCTTGGCCCTACACACCACACACCGCAGGGGCAGCAGCCGCTGACTCACCGCAACCTGAAGAGACATGAACACTCCACGTTAACAAGTTTGATCCTTGTTATGTTAGTGACGTGTGATGTGTTAGTGACGTGTGATGTGTTAGTGACATGTGATGTGTTAGTGACGTGTGATGTGTTAGTGACGTGTGATGTGTTAGTGACGTGTGATGTGTTAGTGACGTGTGATGTGTTAGTGACGTGTGATGTTTAGTGACGTGTGGATGTGTTAGTGTGGTGTGTTAGTGACGTGTGATGTTGTGTTAGTGACGTGTGATGTGTTAGTGACGTGTGATGTTGTGTTAGTGACGTGTGATGTGTTAGTGACGTGTGATGTATTAGTGACGTGTGATGTGTTAGTGACGTGTGATACTGTATTAGTGAAGTGTGATGTTGTGTTAGTGACGTGTGGTGTGTTAGTGACGTGTGATGCTGTATTAGTGAAGTGTGAGTTTTGTTAGTGACGTGTGATGTGTTAGTGACGTGTGATGGTAGTGAGTGGAAAGTTGTGGATGTATGTTATGTTAGGACGTGTGTGTTGTGTTAGTGACGTGTGACGTTGTGTTAGTGACGTTGTGTATGTTAAATGACGTGTGATGTTGTGTTAGTGACGTGTGATGTGTTTAGTGACGTGTATGATGTATTAGTGACGTGTGGTGTGTTAGTGACGTGTGGTGTTTAGTGAGTGTGATGCTTTTATTAGTGAAGTGTGTGTTTTGTTAGTGACGTGTGATGCTGTATTAGTGAAGTGTGATGTTGTGTTAGTGACGTGTGATGTGTTAGTGACGTGTGATGTGCTAGTGATGTGTGATATGTTAGTGGCATGTAATGTTATGTTAGTGAGTGTGATGATTGTTGTTGTTAGTTACGTGTGACGTATTATGTTAGTGACGTTTGATGTTAGTTAGTGACGTGTGATGTTAGTGTTATGTTGGACGTGTGATGCTGTATAATGACGTGTGATGTTGTGTTATTGACGTGTGTGTGTTTGTGGACGTGTGTGATGTTAGTGGCTGTCTTATTACGGTGAGTGTGATGTTTGTTAGTGACGTGTGATGTGCTAGTGACGTGTGATAGTTATGTTGTGGTTGTGATGTTATGTTAGTGACGTGTGATGTTATGTTAGTGTCATGTCATGTTATGTTAGTGACGTGTGATGTTGTGTTAGTGACGTGTGATGTTATGTTAGTGACGTATGATGTTATATTAGTGACGTGTGATATTGGTTAGTACGTGTGTGTTATGTTAGTGTCATGTCATGTGTAGTGACGTGATGTTGTTTAGTGGATTGATGTTGTGTTATTACGTGTGATGTGTTAGTACGTATGATGTTTGTTAGTGGCGTGTGATGTTGTTAGTGATGTGTGAAGTTTGTTAGTGACGATGTGATGTGTTAGTGGGCGTGTGATGTTATGTTAGTGACGTGTGATGTTATTAGTGACGTGTGATGTTGTGTTAGTGACGTATGATGTTGTGTTACTGACATGGGATGTTGTGTTAGTAACGTGTGATGTTATGTAGTGGACGTATGATGTTGATTAGTGACGTGTGATGTTATGTTAGTGACGTGTGATGTTTTTAGTGAGTGTGATGTTTGTTAGTGACGTGATGTTGTGTTAGTGAGTGTGATGTTATGTTAGTGACGATTATGTTGTGTTAGTGACGTATGATGTTGTGTTAGTGACATGGGATGTTGTGTTAGTAACGTGTGATGTTATGTTAGTGACGTATGATGTTGTGTTAGTGACGTGTGATGTTATGTTAGTGACGTGTGATGTTATATTAGTGACGTGTGATGTTGTGTTAGTGACGTATGATGTTGTGTTAGTGACATGGGATGTTGTGTTAGTAACGTGTGATGTTATGTTAGTGACGTATGATGTTGTGTTAGTGACGTGTGATGTTATGTTAGTGACGTGTGATGTTATATTAGTGACGTATGATGTTGTGTTAGTGACATGGGATGTTGTGTATAGTGAACGTGTGTGTATGTTAGTGCGTTTATGTTGTTAGTGACGTATGATGTTGTGTTAGTGACATGGGATGTTGTGTTAGTAACGTGTGATGTTATGTTAGTGACGTATGATGTTGTGTTAGTGACGTGTGATGTTATGTTAGTGACGTGTGTTTATTAGTACGTGGATGTTAGTTGGACGTATGATGTTGTGTTAGTGACTGTGATGTTGTGTTAGTAGACGTGTGATGTTTGTTAGTGAGTTGATGTTGTGTTAGTGACGTGTGATGTTATGTTAGTGACGTGTGATGTTTTTAGTGACGTATGATGTTGTGTTAGTGACATGTGATGTTGTGTTAGTAGACGTGTGATGTTTGTTAGTGACGTATGATGTGTATATTAGTGACGTGTGATGTTTGTTAGTGAGTATGATGTTTTGTTAGTGACGTGTGATGTTTGTTAGTGACGTGTGATGTTTGTTAGTGACGTATGATGTTGGGAGTGATGTGAGTTGTGTTAGTGACGTGTGATGTTATGTAGTGACGTGTGATGTTTGTTAGTGACGTGTGAGTTTATTATAGAGTGTGATGTTATGCTTAGTGACTGTATGACATGTAGTGACGTGTGAAGTTGTGTTACACGTATGTTGTTACACTCCTCATTTGTCATGCACCTGATTGGTCAACCTCGCTCCCATACCTTAGTCACGTATGCTCTATTAGTGACGTCAAATCTCACACCTAGTACATGTTACACGCTGCGTCGATGTGTCTCTAGCTCACATTCGCTGTCTCGTCCCGACCTATAATGTTGTGTTAGTGACTGAATTTAGTACATATGGTACTACTAGGATAGTACGATGTCATCCACATCACGTACCTCACTCCAATACTCCACTTATCAATCCTCCTCCACCCCCCTTACTCCCACACCTCCTCCCACATCTCACTCCTCACTCCACTCCACACCTCCTCACATCACCTCTCACACTCTCGCTCCACATCTCATTCCCACACCTCGACATCCACACACTCCCACTCCCACACCTCACTCCACACCTCCTCCACACCTCCTCCCACACCTACTCCCACACACTGCTCCCACCATCACTCCACCCCACTCCCCAACCTCGCTCCACACTCACTCCACCTCACTCCCACACTCCCCACATCACCTCCCACACCTCATCTCTACACCTCATCCCACACCCCTCCCACCATACTCCCAACCTCACTTTCCCCCACCCACTTTCCACACTCACTCCCAACCACTCCCACCCAATCCCACACCTCACTCCCACACCTCACTCCCACACCTACTCCCACACCTCACTCCCACACCTCACTCCCACACCTCACTCCCACACCTCACTCCCACACCTCACTCCACACCTCACTCCCACACCTCACTCCCACACCTCACTCCCAACACTCACCCCCACCACGTCACTCCCAATCCCTCCCAAACCTCATCCCAACTTCACTCCCACACCTCACTCCCCCGCCTCACTCCCACACCTCACTCCACACCTCACTCCCACACCTCACTCCCACACTCTCCCACACTTCACTCCCACACCTCACTCCCACACCCCACCTCCACACTCACTCCCAAAACCTCACTCCCACACCTCACTCCCACACCTAGCTCCCACACTCACTCCCACACCTCACTCCACACCTCACTCCCAACCTACTCCACACCTCACTCCAACACCTCACTCCCACACCTCACTCCACACTACTCCCACACCTCCTCCCACACCTCACTCCCACACCTCACTCCCCACCACTCCCACCTACTCCCACCTCACTCCCCCACCCCACTCCCACACCTACTCCCACACCCCCACTCCCCACACCTCACTCCCCCACCTCACTCCCACACCTCACTCCCACACCTCAAACCCCTACACCTCACTCCCACAACTCACTCCACTCACTCAACTTCACTCCCACACCTCACTCCCACGCCTCACTCCCACACCTCATCCCACACCTCACTCCCACACTCACTCCCACACCTCACTACCACACCTCACTCCCACTCACTCCCACACCTCATCCCACACCTCACTCCCACACCTCACTCCCCCACCTCACTCCCACACCTCACCCCCACATACTCCCACTCGACTCCCACACCTCACTCCCACACCTCACTCCCCCACCTCACTCCCACACCTAGCTCCCACACCTCACTCCACCCACTCCCAACTCACTTCCCCACCTACTCCCCCACCTCACTCCCCACCTCACTCCACCACCTCACTCCCACACCTCACTCCACACTTCACTCCCACACTCACTCCCACACCTCACTCCCACACCTCACTCCCAACTACTCCACACCTCACTCCCCCACCTCACTCCCACACCTACTCCCACACCTCACTCCACACCTCACTCCCACACCTCACTCCGCCTTCACTCCCACACCTCACTCCCACACCTCACTCCACACCTCACTCCCACACCTCACTCCCACATCTCACTCCCACACTTCACTCCCATATCTCACTCCCACACCTCACTCCCACGCTTCACTCCCACACCTCACTCCCACACCTCACTCCCACACTTAACTCCACACCTCAATCCCACGCCTCACTCCCACACCTCACTCCCACACCTCACTCCCCACCTAGCTCCCACACTTCACTCCCACACCTCACTCCCACACCTCTTTATCCACCCTACTCCCACACTCACTCCCACACCTCATCCCACACCTCCTTTCCCACACACCCTCACTCCCACACCTCACTACTCCTACACCTCACTCCCACACTCACCCCCCCTCCCCACACCTACTCCCACACCTCACTCCCACACCTCACTCCCACACCTCACTCCCACACCTCACTCCCACACCTCACTCCCACACCTCACTCCCACATCTTGCGTGTCTTCGTTACTTTCTACTTCGATATATGAATTCGATCCCATTTTTCTTGGTTAATTTTTTCATCTTTCCTTCGTGGCATCTTCCGAGTTTCCTCTGTGATAGATCTCAGATTTTCTGTTTATTCCTGGCATGCCTCTCAGTCGTCTTCTCTACTCTTC